TTTCAAGATAAGCTCTTGCCTCTTCTGGATCACAATACTGAATCACAGTCTCATTGCACCGACGTCTTTGGCATGTGGGAGCTGATCATTTCAGGACTATATCTGAGCTACATCAGGCTTCACATATTGTTTTCAGAATGAAACCACTGAAATTCTAGAAAAACTTATGCTCCCGACACAATTTGAGGTCCTGCCCAGAATGCAAAATAGGGCAGATATTTAACCCATATCTACAGAAAGCACTAATCTAAACTAGTTGCCTGTTATACTTAGGACCACTTCACGTGGCATGTTTTCCATGTTTTCTCCTTGGATCTCTTAGCGATCAGTGCCACCATAGTGTTTAAAAGAGAAGTGTGTTTCTGTAAACTCAAGGAGGCATGCGGTGGACAGGCTCCTCCCATTACTTGTCCAGTGGATAATTTGGGACATCTAGGAAATGTGTGCTACATTAAGTGTGAAGTGACTTTTACAAAGGCCTTTGGTACTTTCTACAGAGACTCCATCTTAAATTGACTTGCTATATTCAGCTGCCCAGAGGGATTTAACGCAGAGGTGAGGCAATCTTGCAATGGAAAGATAGACTGATGGAGAAAGATGGTGTTTTCCCATTCTCTTCTGAAACTACTACTAGGGATGTGATCATGCACTAACTCTTTTTGCTGCCCAGTTTTGCTACTATGCTTCTGAAGGCATTCCATGATGTTAATGTGAGAATAAGGATCTGATTTAGAGCAGATGGTAATCTATTTAACCTTGAAAAGCTCCTAGCAAAAAGTAAGGTATTTGAAGAAATGGTTCAGGTGCTCTCATTAGTGGATGATTGTGCCCTAGTTCCTAATGCTTCAGAGGACAGACAAGTAATTATTGATTCATTTTCAGCAGCATACACACATTTCAAACTAATTATTAATGTAAACAACACAAAGAGTTTCATATCCAGCATTCAGGATGAGATTTATGTTGCACCAAAAATTACTAACAGCAATAATGCCTTATTGATAATGGATAAAATTCCCACCTCGGGCAGTGCCCTGACTTGTGAATTAAGTATCAGTGATGAAAATGCAAAATCAAGGAGCAGGAAATAGTGTAGCTTTCAGCAAGCCTCACACAAACCTATGTGAGAAAAGAGCCGTGAGCCTTCAGAAACAATTGAAGGTGCATAGACTTGCAGGATGTCTAGACAGGTTGAAACATCAAGTTGCTAGATCTCAACAGGGAGATTTCCATCCCTCCCCTCATTGCCCTTATGCCTGTAAAATTATCCTATAGGAATCTATGGTGTGTCTCTCTGACTCCGGTTTCTCTCTCATTTGACTATGGGCTGAATGTTCCAACGCAGGAGTTGTTTTCTGGTCTAAATAATTATGACTCCAAAATGGTTTCTTGCTTAGCATTTACCACAGGTTGGATAGCAAACAAGCATGGTTGATTAGCATAGACCAGTAAATGAAGTAAAATCACAAAAGCTGGATGTTTCCATGAAAAGACAATAAATTTCCTAAATTCATGTTTATACTAGAAACTACAAAACCAGGAATAAAAAGAACCACATGTTTAAAAGCTTCTGAGCCAAAGATGGTAAAAAACATAGGGATAAACAATCCAAATTTTCCCTTAAACAGTATAGACTTTTGAGATGAATCCAATAGGATGAATTGTGTCAATGGACTCTGCATTTATCAACATTTCAGCAAGCTAAATTCTGTCTTAGCCACAGAATTCGCTGCACATTAGATACATGCAGATAAAATAATTCTACTTAATTCCATCACAAACATAGAACTTAAGACCTGATGGAGAGAAAAGCAAGGGGAGGTTACAGGGGGACAACTGGGAGATGGAAGGATTAAGCATGTCTCATTTCACCCATTCCTTCTTCCGTGCAAAACACACTCCCTCTTTAAAGCAGAGAAGCAGACTATGGAGTATATAAGGCACCCATCAGCCCATATAGTAAGGTACAAGGGAGGGTCTTAGCTTTGTTGGTCTCAGCCCCTTTAATGCAGTACAAAGTAATAGAATGAAGAAGTAAGAAACATATAATTTATTTCAAGGTTTCTTGAATGTAAATCATTGCAGAAATGGACTTCTTATGATTTACTTCAAGAAAAAAAGCTAAAGTCTCTGATTTCCAATTGCTTTTTAAGGAAGTAGCATATAGAACAACCACTGTTTGTTTTTGTTTCTTCAGTCTAAACTTGCTTAGACTTCCAAGAGAGAAAATTTGCTTAATTTAGTTTAAAAATGCTTGTGTGTATTTAAAAGTGAAAGCAGAAATATGATGTGTGGGTGTGCCTATGTATGTAACATTCCTTAAATGTTCTGGTCCCATTGCTAGATCTTTCATTCTGTCAATACATAAGATTTTTTTTTAAAAAAGAGAAAGGAATTTTTAAATAGTGGGAGAAACCTCACAAAGTGAATTTAAAAACTTAGAATTATTAGAAATATACTGAGCATCCCTCCCCCAGTCGTACCTTGGTTGTCGAATGGAATCCATTCCGGAAGTCTGTTTGACTTCCAAAAACATTTGACAACCTGGATGCAAGCAGAAGCCACGTCAGACGTTCGGCTTCCAGAGAATGTTCTCCAACCGGAACACTCACTTCCGGGTTTGCGGTGTTTGGGAGCCAAAATGTTCGACTCACAAGGCATTCAGGATTCAAAGTACGACTGTGTGTGTGTGTGTGTGTGCGCGCGCACACACACAAAAAAACACACACATCCAGTGTATTCAGGCAGGTACACAACTGATAAAATATTGTTGTTAAGAGTATAAGCAATAAGTTTGAAAGTGCCTAGTTCATATTTCAGGTTAACTATGGCTTGCCTGTACAGTATAGTCAAGACACCATTTCTCACTCCCACTTTTCACCTATATACAGTTGTGATCATCATAGTGGTTTATCTTGTAGGGTTGCTCTAAGGATTACAGAAATAATAATAAAGACGTATACAGAGGAGGAAGGAAAGTATGACTATGGGCACCATGAATGATCCATGAAATAGAGTGCTTTTCTGAATTTTGCTGCCTGGCAAAGTTTTGCAAGATTTCATGGACCACAGTTTTAGGGACCCATATTTGTCAGATCTTAACAGAATCAAAATTAGGTATATGGTTGGTTAGTTATTTTTATTTGTATTACCATCAGGCATGCCCCTTTATGATGCTTGAGGCAAAAAAAGAACATTCCGCTCCCTTTCCATTCCCCACCCACCACCGCCTCTCTTACCTGTATAAGAGAGGCCCTGACTTCTGGTGAGATCTTGCAAGATCTAGCCAAAGTCTCATGAGATCTTGTGTGTTCTGTGAGGTCTCGTGAGATTTTGGCAATGCTTTGCAAAATCTCACTGAAAACCAGCACCGCTGCCAGCGCTACTTGTCTGCAGGCAGCAGAGGCAACGAGGCAGGCGGTGGAGGCAAGTGTCAGGGACTAGCAGGACGCTGACAAATGTGCATGGGGGAAGGGGGACTGGAGTCTGACTCAAGAGAGGGGTCCAGTGAATTGTGAGGACCTGCATCAGCCAAGAGGCAAGAGCTGGAGGCAGGGGAAGCTTCAGAGACGGAGTTGGAAGAAGAGGAGGAAGAGGCAGGTCAGGCAAGTGAAGGGCTGGGTGCTTCTGTCCTTTCCTGCACCACTGTCTCCCAGAACCAGGAAGGGATTAAAGAGGGAAGAGCAGAGGCAGCTTCCACACGGGCAGTTTATGGCTGTGTGTGCACAGCCTGTCAGGGGGAGGTACATAAACTGGTGGAGGAGGAGTGGCCCCCCTACTGCAGCAACTGCTTCATAGAGCACAGACCTGGAAATAGCTGTCTGGATGCTAGACTGGTGCACATGGGCATTCAAAGCTGTAGAAAAAATGGTAAGTGTCCACTTCTGACAATAAAGAGTTAGCTATATGCCATATGCATTCCTTTGGCTGGGGAGCACCCATGACAGTGAGGTGGGCATCATCTCTTGGGCTTCCACCACTCAAGGTGAGTGTCTCACCCTGCCTCATCAATTGGCCAGGCCTACGATCAGGAATGGTACCAATGAATTTAATCAAAGTTGCACTGTTTTGATTTAAGAGGCCTTCTGTAGACACATTACTTGTACATGGATTTTGTACATGTACATGGAACTATCAGGGACTAGCTTGGAATCAGAAGAATGGTGGGAGAAACCAACTGGGGAACCCCCAAGGGAAAAAGGCTCAGGGATTGGTGGTGGGACAATGATTAGTCATCAGAGGGAGAAGACTGGGAGGAGGAAGTGTCCAAAGCTGAACTGGAAACCGGGCTTAGTGAGCTGGAAGAGTCTATGGCAAAGAGAAGTCCAGAATAAGACGCAGAGGTTGAAGCACGAGAGTGGGATGTCAAGAACCAAACTTCACAGAGCACATAATATATTTGAAAGTATCAAAATGGCCACCTAGCCCAACCCACTGAAGCAAAGCAGAACCGGCTATTCACTGCACATTTACCCAGACAGCCTGTGTGAACAGAACCTCAGGTTACAGGTGCACACCTTAAGAACCGAAGGACAGAAGTGAGCTCAGCAGCACACTAGTTACACAAGTTTGGGAGAGGGTCAGAATTCTTTCAAACTTCAGATATGGGGATCTTTAGGAGTATGCCCAAAATTGATTCATTGTGTCCCTTCCATTGAAAATTGAATTGGATCATACCCATGTCATTCAAGATTGTAACTCTTCTCCATCTTTATTTGCGTTAGTCCCTGATAGGTTAGGAACAACAGGTTAGAAAGTCCCTTCTTAAACCACCATGAAACAATAGTTAGTACAGTGATAGCAAGATACCCTTCATATATTTATCAGCAGTGAATTCTATGAGATTCTTTGCTTCCACAAAGAGCCTTCTATAGTATATTCAAGATATATCAACAGCCTTGTTCATGCAGACATATTTGAGCTATTGAAGCATTTACAGAAGAGAGGGGCATGGAAAGGTTGGAGAAAATAATAACAAAGAAAGAAGAGAAGTTACTCACTGTAGCCTGCTGCTTTTCTGCTTCTCAGCTGCCTCATTAAGCTGTTTTTGAAAGGCCTCCTGGAGCGATTTCATTTCTTCCCTAGTTTATCGAAGAGACAAAACACAAACTTCATCTCTATTGTACACGAGGAAAGAATGCTTTTGTTTACTCTCTTTTCATGACAAGGCACTTTTAATTACACTGAATAACCACTGGTTGTGCTTTGTTGGGGTGGCTTATTAATAAAGCCACAGATGCCCAGTGCACTCCAGTGAGCTTCCAAAATGAAAATTCTTTTGTGTCTACTGTATAGAATACTATGCAAAATATTATTTAAGCATTCTTCATATTCTAATTCACTAACTCTCATTTTCAAAGCAAATTGTTTATACTTAGATCTCCATCACCTCTCCCTCAGCAATTGTTTAGAAGGGATGAGTAGGAAAAAATGCAGTTGCAAACTCTTAGGGAGACCCATCTTTTACCATTATCTTCAGGTAGCAACTGAACTTCAGCAGGAGCATAAGCATCTTAAACAGAAGACCTATTTTGGCCTCATTGGTCCAGATCCAGTTCCCAGACAGATAAGGTTCCTCAAAGTGAAAGACACCTTCGTAGTGGCACTTTCTGACAGCTGTTCTGAGGATCAGACATAGCAAGATCCAAAGAGATAAATCTTCAGGACAGGGAGAATGAACATGTTATGTGAGATATAAAACCATGCTGACGACGGGCGGGGTGAATTTGGTCCTTTTATCTGCCTTTGTTTTGTCCTGAATAATTACACAGAATACAGTTGCTGCTACGCGTAGGTCTTTTTTCATGTAGACACCAGCAGTACGAGTGAACTGACAGATTTTAAGAAACACCCCAGACTAGTTCTATGCCTCCTAGGCAATAGGGAAGAGCATATCTGATAATTTTAGTTCCTCATTTTTCCTATCTTCATTTCTCTGCCTCAGTTCTTGTTTTTAAAAACGTCCTCATGAAAATTCATCAACATCTTTTGTGCGAAATTTCTCCTGATATACATGTTTTTGTAGGCAATTTCCCCTAATATAATGCATTTCTGTATGTTATTTTCATTAATCCAGTATATGCATTTTAATGCACACTTTATCCTACTACATGCTTTTTTGTACATATTACTTAATTGGAGAACTGCATTGGAAAATTCAGAGCTCTGCAATTTTACTTTGGTTTTTAGAAAGTATTAATTAGGTAGGTTGATCTTGGAATGTGAACTGAATTGAATGTGTTGCTCATCCCAATTTGGCAATAAGCTTCATTGAACTCAGTGGGACTTATTTCTGATTAAACATGCACAGAAGTGCACTGACTGTAGTTTAGGTGACGAAGCATGAAGCACAATCCAGATAAAATTAAAGGATTGTTAGGGAGTGATTCCCTAGACCAGATAGGGCATGCGTAGGCAAACTAAGGCCTGGCAGCCGGATCCGGCCCAGTCGCCTTCTAAATCCGGCACGTGGATGGTCTGGGAATCAGCATGTTTTTACATGAGTAGAATGTGTCCTTTTATTTAAAATGCATCTCCGGGTTATTTGTGGGGTAGAGGATTTTGTTCATTATTTTCCCAAAAAACATAGTCCAGCCCCCCACAAGGTCTGAGGGACAGTGGACCGGCCCCTTGCTGAAAAAGTTTGCTGACCCCTGAGATAGGTGGACAACTGCATTCTCCTAAATGAGCAGTAGTTTGGGAGTACTTCTGAATCTACTACTGTCACTGGAGGCACAAGCTGTGGCCCTATCTGGACAGGAATAGTGTAGTTTCTATTACCTATGCACTGGTAACCTTCAAATTAGATTGCTGCAATGTGCTATACAGTATATGGGGCTGCCTTTAACGGCAGTTCAGAAACCTTAGCTGGCACAGAATTCATTGGCTAGATGGTTGATTAGGAGTTGAACTATAAAGCCATATGAGGTTCAGGACTCAAATAGTTTAGGGACCACCTTTCCCTGCACGAATTTACCTGGACCCTGGGTTCATAATCGGAGGCCCTTATTCATATGTACATTGCAGGGAGGTGCAGAGGATGCAACACAAGAATTTTTATTTTTATTTAGTGATGGCTCCCCAATTCTGGAATACTATCCTGCAAAAGATTCACCTGGCTCCATCACTATCAACTTTTAGGCACCCGGCAAAGGTTTTTCTATTCACCCTAGTTGTGCCCTAGCCTGCACAAGAGTCCATCTTTTAGTACCTTGGGGTAGGATTTGTCCTGTTTATGTTATTGCAGATGAAGGGTTTTAGCCAATATTATTGTTGCATTTTAAAATTTGCATCGTGTATACTTTTATAACTGCATGTCACTTTGAGACATTTTTGTAGTAAGAAGTGAATAAACACAATAAATAATATCAATACTACAAGTATTAGTAATAAATTAACTTATTGAGTGCTGAAGTGAGTGCTGAGTTTGCCCAATCTGATTTACCGTGAATGGTGAATATGGGTTGGACACAGATCCAATAAATGTGAATTGAGCTGTGAGCTGATCCTTAGTTTCAGTGATTTAGGCTGTTTTACAGCAGCTAGAAGCAGGGCTGAACTTGCAATCCAGATCACAGAAAGAGCAAGAATATAAACTAGAGATTAAGGCACGTTGGTTTCCACTCAAGCAGCAGCTCACAACTTTAATACAGACATGCAGCTGAAGAATGACAGGTCCCAGTCTGGGACACAACATTTTGATTGGACAAGTCATGTATTAAAACTAGGAGAAACTGTGTATACAGCCAATTAGGGTCAGCACAGTGATTCCTGACAGCTCAATAGGTAAATTGGAGAGCTCTTCTTATTCTGTGTTTTAGAAGATTTATCACAGGGTGCACAAGACAATGTTTCAGGGCTGAGATGTTGTGCATCTGGCAGGAAGTCTTTTATGTGTCATTTAATCTATGTTCCATGGGAGCCAAACTTACAACAAATGTGGCACATCCCTCACATTAATAACAAGCCAGTTTTCATGCCTTGGCATTTTATCATTGTGAGCGTCTTAAAAATGTGTGCTTCCATAAACAGGGAGGGTGGAATCATTAATTGTTATATTATCCACAGAAGTGGTTTCCACAGTGTGTTCTTAGAGTGTCAGGAGAAAAATCTAGAAACAAAAGAAAATGCGCTGCTTCACCGAAAATGCTACGCTGCACGTATCATGCTGTCTGTCTCAGAGAATCAGCACAATGAAGTCAAGCTCTGTATTGGTTTCCCATGGAAACAATCTTCATGCATTTCAGATGGATTATGACAAGTTTGAAATGAAACTTTGCTTTGGAAAAACAAAAGTAAAAAAGCTGTCTGTTCATAGTAGTGATAGGAAAACTGCCCTCAGGTCAAATTGCACTCATTTTGGAGATTATGAACATCTGGAAAGACATTATTTGTTTTTTGAAAGTTAGGTTCCAGCTCACTATGGCAGAGCATCTGCACTGATGCTGTCACATCATTACACCAAATTAGAATCCCCCCTGGGAAGAGCTGCTTTCAGCATACCACGATGGAGAAATTCACCTGGAAATTCTCATATGCATACAAACAGTCATAGGTTTTAGATGTGCTTTGTAAAATGAAGACAGAAGAGAGAAGACATAAATGATTCTACATAGGAGAGGGACAAATTCAGGAGACCCATAGCCCAGGAGTACTTGGAGGCCTGGTTTTGCTTCTGTATGGTCAAGCATGCTTTTACCATAAGTAAAGTATTCAGCACCATAATTCAAAAGCATCAGTTCTTTGGCAATCAGCCTTCTTTATGGTGAGAGCTTGACCATAAAGAAGGCTGATCGCCAAAGAATTGATGCTTTTGAATTATGGTGCTGGAGGAGACTCTTGAGAGTCCCATGGACTGCAAGAAGATCAAGTCTATCCATTCTGAAGGAAATCAACCCTGAGTGCTCACTGGAAGGACAGATCCTGAAGCTGAGGCTCCAATACTTTGGCCACCTCATGAGAAGAGAAGACTCCCTGGAAAAGACCCTGATGTTGGGAAAGAAAGTAAGACAGATAAATGTAGACTTGTACCTTTGTTTTTGGCCTAATTCCAAGAGTTTCTGTACGTCGGTTTTAGCAGATGCCTCATCGTTTTTCAAAGACTGAGAACAAAGGGAAGAAACAATAAGTTCTTTACCATTTCTTATCAAGAAGCTCTTTACCATTTCTTCCATACTAACATTATTAATGATGCCCCTTTTGATAAAATGCTTTCTGTGAATAGCATATTTTAAAGCCAAGAACAAATGGAAATGGAAACAGCTTTGTTAGTCTGCTGCAAGGCCTCACAACATTCCCACACTTCTTTTGATTGACACCTTAATCGTCGTAAAAAAAGCCGCCATTGGCCCAACATCTCTATATGTCCCTCTGTAATTATGCCAGAGAGGAACTACTGACTAATGTGAAGGTCAATGACAGATTCACATGTAATCTTCCTTTCATGGAGCTGGTCATTTTTATCCTAAACACATATAAAAATACATAATAGGGATGGGTGGATATATTTCTTATCCATGCCATTTTTGCCTACGTTCATTCATAAGTCTGCTCCATCCCATTTCTTTATTGATTCATGAAAAATCAATTAAGATTCTACATTCATGGGTGTAGAAGAACTACTTTATTTGCTGTTAGATGTGAACTGCTCCTTGCCCTCTAGTCAAAACTAGGTCCACCACCTCTATACCCCATCTTCCATCACTCAAGCCATTGTCATGGATCTAGGAAGGGAAGGACCAGCCTTCTTCTCTAGATCACCAGGTTGTAGAAGCTGTAACAGTGCAGACGAGTTCAGGTAATGAGTAGGGAAAATTGGGAAAAAATATTTGCCATGTTTGAGTGGTGAAGAAGTGGTGGTGCCAGACTAGCGTGTATAGTAAGAAGAAAAGGGCAGTAGAAAATGGAAGGGTCAGAGTCCATTTCTCTCATCCAAATCCCCACAACCTGGCTGTGAAGTTTCATGGCTATTTTCCTAGTATATTAATCACAAAATGCTTGCATTATGAAATGGAGTGAATGATGACTATATATCACGGGGCAGTTGGGGAGGATGAAGATTCATACCTGGAGGTTTACTTTAATTCCTTCAAGTTCTCTGGATGTCTTTGACAGCTGGCGAAGAATGTTGCTCCTTTCCTTAAAGACTTCTTTAAGTTGTCTTTCCAGTTCTTCGTAGCCCTGTCTAACCCAGAAAGAACATCAGTGAGATTCTCTCAGAGCAACTGAAACAAACAAAGCTTGAAATCAGAGATCCAGTCTATTACATTTGCATTCAGATAGAAGCAGGATCCATTTCTGCCATCCTCTCATAGCCTCTCATCATGTCAAGCATATTAAAGTCATTCAGGTCTAGAAAATGAGCTGCTTCATTTGGGTCTGCAGGATTGTCCTATAACCCAGTTTTCTGGGGTTTGCCCAGTAGGAGGCAAAGTGTACTGCCAGTATTCTGCTCAGTAATTTAGAGAGAAAGGTGCATGCACCCACCTTTCATTGTTAATGAGGGAAAACACAGAGAGAGTTGACATGTACATAAGATATTATCTAATGTGATATGAAAAGACAAGAGTTGAACATCATGTGTCTGGATAAAGAAATTCCAGGTCCCTTTATGAACTATTTCCCCCCTTCCCCTGGGTGGAATTGGGCTCTCACATAGAAAATAAAGGTTATAAAAATAAAGAAATGCATAAAAACAAAATAAAGTACCATGAAGATGTTTAACAACACTACCAAAAATATAGTATGCCACTTAGTATTGATCATCACTGTCTTACTGCTGACTTAACTAGTTAATGTTTTATACAATAATCTCCAGCCTACACTCTACAATACCTACATGGCACCAGCAAACCTATCCTTCATTTCCACAAAGGAGATCAATAGCAAATAGTTAAGTTTCCTTTTTTTGAAATGTAAATCGAAAGTGAAAACCCACAGCACAATACTTGTCTGAGTCTGGAGCCAGAGAAAACCAATATCCATGTGCATTGCCGAGAAATAAAGCAAATTATATTTTGAAGCCATGAAAGAAAACACAGGGCAAGGAGGAATGGATCAGCAGGGAGCCAGTAACCAAAAGTGAGGGAATATCCTTTGTACTGCAGGATCAATAGCTACTTCCTGTAACCCTGTTGTTCACCTGAATGTTGTCTAATGATGTCATTTAGAACAACTCTTGACTAAAAGAACAGTCATTCAAACAAAGACTCTCCTCCCTGAAAGAGAGGGGAGTGGTTGTGGGCGGGAGCCTGAACACCGCTCCTAGCAGGGGGCGTTGCCCCCTGCCTCCAGCTCACCTGGCTGGCACTCACGCCCCCCCCCGGTGGCCGTCCAACCAGGTGCCATGGGGGGGCGTGTCCAGCAGCCTTTATGCTGCAGTGCCAGCCTTTTCCCTGGCCTCATTTCTCTTTGTCGTCCTGTGCATAAAACTCAGGTCAATTTGCTGGTCCAGGTTCGAAGAACGTCTCTTCCGCAGCATATGCTATCGCCTTTTTGGCGTACTTAGAGTTGGTGAGGTGGTGTTTGAAGTTAGTGCACGAGGTTCAGCACGCGGCCTCCTGTGCGAGGACGTGCAGTTGTCCGATTCTAACGTGACAGTGCGTATACGTCAGTCCAAGACTGATCAGGCGGGTAAGGGTGTCCTAGTTAAGCTCACGGCGTTGGCACAGCAGGGCCCATGCCCGGTAGAGGACACTAGGCGGTACCTCTACCTCAGACCGCCCGGCCCGGGTCCGTTTCTGGTCCATGAAGATGGGTCACCCTTGTTGAGGCACCAGTTCACCAGAGTACTTCGCAAGGCTATTGAGGCTTGTGGTCTATCCTCCCAGGAGTACGCTGCGCACTCATTTAGGATTGGCGCCGCAACCACGGCCGTGCACCTGGGGCTACCGGCGGACAGGATCAAAGAAATGGGCCGGTGAAAATCCAATGCTTATAAGTCTAATATGCGACTTGCAGCTTTACCCTAATCTGCCTTTTCTTTTCTGTCTTTTACCCCCAGCTATGCTCAGGAGAAGCGTGTGGATTTGCGGCCACAGTATAGTTCATTGGGCCCGCGTACGAGCGGTGAGCTGCAGCCTTGCACACAATCTTGGCCTTCCACATGGTGTTCGAGTTTCCTGGTTTTCGAGAAGAGGCATGCGTTGGGAGGAGCTTATGCCATTGCTGTGGGAGAAAGTAGCCAAGTTCGGCCCTCCCGACATCCTTGTAATTCATTTGGGGGAGAATGACCTCGCTAACAGAAGGAGTGTGGACTTGTGTGGAGCATAAAAAGAGACTTGAATGCATTTGCAGCCTTGTGTCCCAGAACAACGGTGTTCTGGTCCTCCTTCTTGAAACGAACTGTTTGGCGTGGTGCGCAAAGCTGTATGGCCATTGAAAGAACCAGGAAACTCGTAAATCGGGCGGTAGCCCATTGGGTGCGCTTTATGTATGGCCGAATCATTTATCATGACCGTATCCGGATCAGCGACCAAGCTTTATACCGGAATGACGGCGTCCACTTATCGGATCTGGGGAACGACATTTGGTTAGCTAGTGTCAGCAAAAGCATCTGGGATTGGTTGCAGCTTTGAAGGTATTGGCGGCGAGCCTTTAGCTCGGGTGGCGGTTAGGCATTGGAATAATGTGTTGTGGTGTGTCGAAGTGCTAGGTGTGGCCATCGCCTATGCCTTCAATCTCTAGGGGTATTCCGCTAAAGGAATCTGGCGGTCGTGTATTCCGTCCGAAGCCTGCTTGGCGGGAGGCCATGGCACAACCCTCGGTGACATCAGGGGTGAGCCTATAGTTGGATTAGCATCAACAGGTGATGAACCCCTGGTGAATAAACCCACTTGTTTCGCGATCCAATGCCTAAGCCAATACCTTTTCATTGCTGTAATCAATAAAGTTGTGGCCTTTTCTAGCCCATTAACCTTATATCACGTGTCCCTGTGTCTTCATTTTACTTCGCGGGGGTCGGGTCCTCGAACCACAAAGACTCTCCTCCCTGAAAGAGAGGGGAGTGGTTGTGGGCGGGAGCCTGAACACCGCTCCTAGCAGGGGGCGTTGCCCCCTGCCTCCAGCTCACCTGGCTGGCACTCACGCCCCCCCGGTGGCCGTCCAACCAGGTGCCATGGGGGGGCGTGTCCAGCAGCCTTTATGCTGCAGTGCCAGCCTTTTCCCTGGCCTCATTTCTCTTTGTCGTCCTGTGCGAGTCACCCACCCTCCACTCCCTTTGAGTTAGGGCTTAGGTCATTGGCCTTGCTATGGACCTTAGGTTGGTCGCCCCGGTTGCCCGGGGGGCCTGGTAGGAGTTTTTCCATTTGGCATTAGGCTTTTTGGTTTTTTCGCCTACCTCGTAGCAATCGTCACAACTTTTTGGTGGTATTGGTGGGTAGGTTAGGCATTGGAATAATGTGTTGTGGTGTGTCGAAGTGCTAGGTGTGGCCATCGCCTATGCCTTCAATCTCTAGGGGTATTCCGCTAAAGGAATCTGGCGGTCGTGTATTCCGTCCGAAGCCTGCTTGGCGGGAGGCCATGGCACGACCCTCGGTGACATCAGGGGTGAGCCTATAGTTGGATTAGCATCAACAGGTGATGAACCCCTGGTGAATAAACCCACTTGTTTCGCGATCCAATGCCTAAGCCAATACCTTTTCATTGCTGTAATCAATAAAGTTGTGGCCTTTTCTAGCCCATTAACCTTATATCACGTGTCCCTGTGTCTTCATTTTACTTCGCGGGGGTCGGGTCCTCGAACCACAATATATACCCTTTGTGAATTCTATAAATGGCAACTGAATGCTATGTGGTTACACTGTCCTCCATGCAACTCAGCTGAATCCAAGTTGGACCAATCAATGAATTTTTATTATCAGCTTTTGCCTGACATCCCAGAACCATTCACTATATCACTTGTAGAGAATATAAATTCATGGGGAAAACCTCTAGAGCTGGTGTACATGAGCACTGCACCCTGTCCCAGTCTAGCAGTAGCTGCACATCATTACGTAGCTCCTGAATCAGACTAGCTGTGTGAGAGGATCCATGGTGAGGGGGGGTCTGGAGCTCCCCAAAATACAGCTGAGTTCAGTAAGGGCTCAGCTGCCATAAGAAGTGAATTGGGCCCTACATGAGGATTCTGTAGCAAGGAATCCCTAGAAAGATGCTCAGGGTTTCCTCTAAATGTAGAAGCCAGAAAGTTGGAAAAGCACTACAGTGAAGTAAAAGTACAGTCTTTGAATAGAACAAAAACAACAACAACAACCATTGAACTTTTAAATGTAAAAGTCATAAAATGGGATGAGTGAGTGGGTGTCTGTGGTCTTGTGATCCAAATGGTGTCATGTTAATTAATTGTCCAATAGGTGTCTGTTATACACATACAACCTTATTTTCCATAGCACTTCCTGAACAAGAAACAATTTTCCCCAAGCCAAATGCTTAGATTATAGCTTGTGGAGGAGACTGAGCTACACTGGTCGCTCCTGCTAGATGAGGCAATTTAAACTCATTTCTTCTTCCTCGCTACTGCCTCAAGCTCCAAACTCGATTTTGGAATGTCACTTGACTAGGCTGATCAGATGTGGGGGTGGGGTGGGGGTGTTTGTGTGGCACAGAGGGTTTCAAAGAGAAGGAGGAATCGGCTGGATTTGACTCTCCTCTTCCAGCAGTAGGAGAGTCTTGTGTACAAATATTGACCCATATGTAGTTTAGAACCAGCCCCAAATAACTACATTTCAAGAGCAGGCAAAATGTAACTTCCCCTACAACATACTCTTGAGGTAGGGGGTTATCTTGAGTCCCCACAACCAAGCAACAAACTTAAACTCACAGTGTAATTGAAAGCCTGCATGAAAAGGTCATTAGCATCCATAACAGCGCAAGTTTCTAAGTACTCTTTTGTGTTCCAAAGTTATCTGTGTTTAAACCAAAACAATCCATGAATATAATTTAGTCTGATCTTTCTTTGTTTCCTTTGTACAAGAGATGACAAGACAACTCTGTGACACTGTCTTTATTTATGTACTTAGTAACATTATTCCTCATGTTGCCAATGCTGCAGACATGAGTCACACAGTATGAACCAAAGAACTGTCTCCTTCCTTGTGAGTCAAGGGCAAGCTGTATTCCAACATTTATTAGCCTGGGATTTTCTACATATTTGAGATTCAGCTCATTGCTTTGAAACCATTGGGAAAA